TAATAAAACCAAGAATATTTATCTGAACGCAGAATATAGTTCGAAAAACCAAATTTATTTCGATTAAACCAAACCACTGCTTTTTTTCTGTGCAAGGCACAACTTAACAATAATAAATCATGTCAAAATGAAAAGTGCCTCAATAATACCAGCCACTTCATAGTCAAATATATCTTCTCGCACAAAATGGCTTACTGTACAACTATAACTGGTTGATAAAACAACAGTTAAGTAATTACTAGTCAGCAGCAACATTCCCAAATGAATAAGACTGTAATTCTATTCTCAAAAACAAGTCCAGCCTCAATAGTTTTCAGCAGAATATAAGAGGCAAATATAAACAAAAATTAAATAACAAAGGTTGGTCACACAAGAATGAGAAACATCAGAACATAGGCTACACAAATATTTGATGAAACCTAGAGCCAAACATAGACGAAGTACATAAAAGAAAGTGTCTGAAGTAACAAAGTTTTACATTTAAGAGTAAAACAAAATGCTATTATCACATAAAACATTTACATGGAAAGATTTTCACCTGCATCTAAACATATCAACACAGAAATATACCAAAACTATCTTACAGTGGCCACTTCCAGAGGTTTTTGACCTGGAAAAGACCCCAAATGCCCTGCTATGGGCGAGAGTGGGGTGGGCCCTCCGTCCCTCTCAAAATGTTCTCACGTGGCCACGCGTACACAGAATCTGCCAGGGACGTCCTACTCACTTCCTTCCCGTGACAGGGTATTGTTTACGAAAATGAGAGGACAAAAAGCGAAAGCAAACGTCCGGCGCTTTAACCGGAATCCAAACCAATGGTGCACATGGGCTCCAGTATCCTGCGAGAACAAATGGCGTATGAATCAATCGTTGGTCACCGGCTACCATGGGACTGCATCTCCTCACGATGCCCTACTGCCTTGTGGGTCGGACCTTCAGGTCAAAGGCTCGGGGTGTGGCCTCCTAAGAAAACCACCTGCTTCGGTCTGGGCATCCGGGCAGTATCACAGCCCTCACACATATCGAATGATTTATGTGGCGCATATCTACTTGGTGTCTCCTTGTACGAATGTTTATGTGTTCAAATAGAATAAAATAAATGACCTGGAAAACACATATAACCTAGAATAACCAAACTTTCCGAAAGTAAAGAGACAGGAGATTGACAGTATGTACTTAAAGGTCACACAGTCAAGTAAGTAAAACCTAAATAAAAATCAACGAGTGAAATTAAAAGTTCACTATGGAAATTATGAAATATTGGTGTAACTTGCTCACTGACAATGAAAGTGAGTCGTTTTACGTAAGGTATTAAGTCACAGATTATTTATACCTCGTGTTGTAGACGTAGAAATGTAGTTCTCAAGATCAGTTCAAACTAGCAATCACTGATTTCATGGACCAATAGAATGCTAAGACGTAGTCACTCCTAGTTATATTATATTATTTAATCAGTGGTGGTTAATGAGGTATCCTGTAGTTGACTGTTACTAGATATATATAGCAACTTAATATAGAAAGGTCGACTCACCTTTAATAGTTTCTCTTTACGCTCATCATAAAAATTCAACTTAACTTTTGTGAAATAATAGCTTCTTTGCGAACAAACAATGGTTGCATGACTAGGGAAATCAAATACAAATGAGAATTCAGAGTTTTCAAAGATAGTGTGTAAATTTAGGTCTTTGATTGTTTACAAATGAACCTATTTATGATAATGGACATAATATATTGTAGTTGTCCAGCCATAACGTGACCCGCTTCATCGCTCTAGACGGGATTAATGCTTGGTATGAACCTTTGAATAAATGCAAGCTAACCAACAGAATAATGTATTTAATATAAAGGTGATAGAGGTAAAGTGGGAAGGCAGGCATGACCGAACCATAAAGTTTCGATAGTGTTTCCACATTGATTGTTACCATTTTTAACTCACAATTTAATGTCCAGAGGTGAAACTTAGAGGTCAGAATAGATTCACCTTGAAGGATCGTATGGTTACAAATCAAAGTTATTCCATTTTCACTACAGTACTGATGAGGGATAAACCTTCACAGCACACTCAGTCATTAGTAATCGTCTAAATCATAACAGGCTAGTAGAGGATCAAAGCTACCAGGACAGCCAACAATAGAAACCACATATTATAACAGGTAGTAAATTGATGTACGTTTACTATTAATTTAAACACCAGAGTACTTTTCGTAGATGTTGACGAACGTTACTCAATTAATCCCTACATCATTCAGTTGTAGCGGTAAATAAAATCCTAAAATAAATTGTTCTGTATGTCTTCGACGTTGGCGACGACCTCATTAGTTTTACTGGGCACACCTAGTTGAATGTTCGAGGTCACGTATTCGCGCCACATCATGAGCGGATGCGCCGTGCTATACATCTCTTGCAACTGCTAGCCAGATTAAACCAGGGATAAGGGAACAATTGATTCCAATCAGCACTTATTGCCGATAGACGCCACAAAATGAATAAGTTGCTGAGATGTACGAAAACTTTAATCAAATTATTTTGGACCGACAGATATCATACACTCACTATTATTGTTACTCCTCTTGTTAAGTTTCCTGTTTTAGAACCAAACTATACATCTGACTTTATACTAGAGCAGAAATCAGTATGTACTACTTCCCTTAGACATATTATCTTATTAATTTCTTATTTTGGGGTGAATCCAGATCCAACAATATTTATGATCAATTATGCTGATAGTAGATTAACAAACGACAAAATAAGTGTACATGGTATAGTACCATACTGGGTGAACGCATAGATAATACCTAAAAGTTAGAAGTGTGTTGCCAGATATTCATGGACTGCATAACAGTTGTGAATCAAACACAGTCTCGTGGATAATTTTTTCCCTCATAGATACAAATGGTTAATTGGCTGATGGGATCACAAATCTTTATCGATAGAGGTGGTTAAGAGTTGTGCTACAAATACATACCATCGGCCTAAACAAGATATGTTTGCTGGTGCAGAAGTGGGCTAGTTAAGAACAAATGAGAGTAGAGTCCGCTCTCTCACTAAAAATTCTATTGTACAGCTACGTGCACACAGCCACCGCCAGAGAAGTCCAACAATCTTTTTTCGTGTTGTTTAGGCAACTGAGATGAAAAGTTAACATCTAAATCAGGGTACGGAGGACCTACCTGAGAGAATCGGACCTATGGTGCACATAGACTTCAACATCCTGAGGGGACAAATAACGTATGAATCTATTCTCGATTGTTGGGATAGACAAAAGGCTTGGAGAGTGGCCTACTAAGAAAACCGCCTGCTTTGGATTAGGCACAAGGAACTCGAACTCCTAGGACTACATAAATTCCTAGACCGTGATGACTTAGCAAATAACCTTTTTAGGGATAACGGAACTAACTGAGATGCTTGCAAACGTTTACCAATCAGAGAATGCTCCAAAATACTGGGATGAGGTGATGGCCATAACTATCTTTTAAAAGGGTAACAACTATTATAGGATAAGTTTAATTCTTTTTACAAACAAATTAATAGGTTACGTTGTACTTCGCAGATTGTTCAAAAACCCGGGGAAGATCGACTCGTGAGGAGCAGGCAGGTTTTCGAGGATGTATTTATAGTACATCCACCCTCCACCAAATGTCAGAACACTGCCATACTTATGTGCAATCCAGCAATCATTGTTTCTTGATATCAGAGCTGGCTTCAATTCATTGAACAGGACTGTTTACTGGAATTATCTGTCGAAAAAGGGTGTGCCCCTTTCAGGTTAAAGTACTTTTAAAAGACTGGTAGGAACCTGTACTCACTCTGGGTAGTGAGCGGATAGGAGTGGTCGAGAGTCCATGTATTTGGGTAGTTGCGTAAGTGCTGGCGTGAGTGATGAGATCGATTCACGTATGATGAAAATCATAGTGGCATATGCTAATCTGAGCCATCTGCTCGTAAAAAGTCAGATCCATAATCCATCAGTCAGGGCAGTCCCGCTCTATGCTTGTGAAACCTATCCTCTCCTATTCGATGACGTTAAGCGACTTTCTGTGTTTGATCATCGTTGGCTCTGAATGACTGCTGACATCCAGTTGCAACACCATGTTAGTGTTGTGGAGGTTTGGTAATGTACATTAGTCCTTCACAACTCCCTGGTTGGAGTCCTAGAGACGGTGCAACACAGTGTCTAGAGACGTTATCAGTATTGGCTCAAAATAGAAGTCAGTGACAATCCTGCTATAATTTGCTTTTACTTTTTTCATAAGAGAGGAACTTCTTTAACTCCAAGAATCCTCTCTAGTTGTATTTTCCCTGACTAAACTACCTCCCCATTCTTTTTTATTCACATTTATTAATTTCAATTCAGTTTATCGTACTCACGTTCAGTTATCTCTTTACAGTCGAATTTCCTCAATTGTGGTGTAAATATATGTTTTGTTACTTCTTCGTACCGATATTTTTGTTTAAATAAATAAGTAAATACAAAGTCTAGGAGAAAACCAAAGATCAATAAAGAAACATACGACATTAGTTCATTGGGTTGTTAATTATTCTGGTAGGTTCATGATATCTGGTTAGGATCCATTGATATTCAGGACTGCAATTGAGCAGTCTCTTATTGCCATATGTGCATACTGTGTGTATTGCCTCGATATTGCCTTAATTCACAAGCACTATAAGCAAAGACGGATAGTGGTTAGTAGTGGAATTCAGAACTCAGTAGTTAAGTTGGTGACGCGATGACGTTTGAAGCGAATGGTACTAGGTTCGAGTCCCAGATTGAACATCAACCCTGAGATGCAGATACATCCAGCTGACTAGTCCCAAATAGGATGAAACGTGCGTCCTGGGTTCCATTGCTAGTCACTATCCATCTTTGCTTATAAAAGGATCTGCACGATCAGCGATTGGAAATATGACTCAGAGAATCAAGTACAATGGCATTCACTTTTTATAATACTGTCAGTTTTCAGCACAAGAATCTCTTCATACATACAAATAAAACATACGAATACTGAAGAGAAACTTTTTTTTTTAATTTTTACCCATGGATAAGTTTATGTTTTTATTTTTACAAACTGATAATAGTAATAATAGGAGAATTGAAAATAATTCGAGGTAGACAACAACAAGAACAAAAACAACAACAACAACAGTAACAATCGTTAATTGAGGCAGGGAACCAAGTCAATCTGAATTGAAGTTCACAGAAGAAATTTGTTGAATTAATTACATATTTGTGCGTATTTAATGAAAATGAAAGAAGAAAAAAAAATTATCAAACAAAAAGAACTTCTGTGATTAATCAGTGTAGTTTTATCTTCTTTTTCTAAAATAACTTGAATGATCCAAAATGTCAATTTATGAATGAAGCCGGACGAAAAAGAAAACTCATCTGTACTTTATTAGTTGAATAATAATAAATCATTGTGAAGATAATCTTATTCGCCTCAACAATAATAATAATAATAATAATAGAGAGAGAGAGAGATAAAATTGATTTTACTCAAAGCAACAATAATACAATTGTGTATTAGTAAACATACAAATGAATGTTGAATACACAAGATAATGGAATTGGATAAAATTCGATTGAATAAAAACTTTATACACAGAAAATAGTACCAAGATGTATATCGTCATAAACACACAACCGGGTATTGTTCTTCTTTTATTCCCTCTTACTTGTATTTGAACACCTTACAAATTATATGGATGGGGGAAGAAGAGAAGTGTATGTAGAACGATGGTATAGGAGGGGGGTTAACTGATAATAATAATAATAATATTTGGCTTAAACGTATTCCAAAAAAACAAAATACAAAATCAAACTGAATGTGATTCTTAAATAAACATTCAGGAAAAAAAGCAGAACGAAAAGACAGGATGACAAGGCACACACACACACAGTAACAAATAACGATTGCAAGGAAGTCAATTTTCGTAGAGAATAACACCATTTACTAATTTCTTCCTATGAAATAGTTGTAGTTGAATGAGAAGTTGTCACAGGAATGACAGGTCGTCGGACAATCATTAAATCACACCGTGTAGTAGAAGGAGGGGAAGTTGATAATGATGATGATGGTGGTGGTGATGATGATGATGATGATAAATTAGAAATATTTTTAACATTATTCAATTGTGTTAATAATGTGTCCTCTTTATTTTTTGTATGTAAAAGTTGTGATGATGGTGGTGAAATGCAATAATAATCTAAAGTTGTTGATGATGAATGAGGCAATGAATTGGCAACACCAACAGTTAATCGTCTAACACCTTTTTGTCTATTACGTTCAATTGATTTTTTCGGAATTGCTGATGCTGTACGATGAAGTGTAACAGTAGTAGTAGTATTATTATTAGAATGATTTGTTGTTTTCTTCGGGCTGAAATAATAATTTTTTTTAAGAAAAAGAAAACATGATCAAATAAACAATTAATCTAATAGATAGATATAAATAAGACATTTGTTTTTACATTTCAAAATGATTCTTTACCAAAAAATTTTAACCAATCAAATGATTAGAACAGTATGTGTATAGGAATGTTCAATGTAAACAAATCTGTGCAATACAAATGAGAAGAAAAACACACAATAGTATAGCGATTTCGACGAGATTATAATTTATAGGCGAACCAATCAGATATAAGATAACAGATCGTGGATTTGGGCGCTAAATTCATTCATCCATTTCGCTAAATAACGTTTTGGTATTTCAACTGATGTCAGTTCGTGATGGAAACCCTAAATCTAATTTTTAACATTAACCATCAACTGTAAATCATAATTCTAATTCCTCAAACTGGTTTATAACCCTCACTTGGTTTTAGTTATTTGATGAAGACTCTCAAAGTCAGTTTGGCGTCACTCAACATATAAATTAAAAAATAAGTACATGAAATCTTAACAATACTTATGTTCCTTATAGGATTCGAACTCGTATTAACCAGCTAGGTTGGTGATATTCGACCAGTACTCTCAATTTCGTAGACAACACCCCTTTGAGAGAAGGCAGTAAGTGGGACTTTCCTTACAGAGGCTATATACGCGTGGCCATGTGACAGCATTTCGAGAGGGAAGGCGGACTTTCCACACTCTCAGCCGTACCAGGGCGTTTAGGGGCCAGTCTTAAAGTAGGTTACTCGAGACCCAAATAGTTCAATGATGACGTCTTAGACTGTAAAGCTGATTAATGTTGGTTTGAACCATACTGTATCATCTATATGTTTATATTGTATACGTTTCAGGTACTGACAAACTTTATAGTTGATGGACAAAAACCACCAACTTTTTTACCTTTAATGGATAAAAATTTTCTTTTACACAAGTACACACGGAGTATTACCTTGAAATACTCATTAATAATGTGAGTTTTGGATAAAAGTGAATTGTTTGTTGATGATCATGTTATGATCTCGCTGCTCAAAGTAATTTTTTGAAATAAAAGATGAACTTAAGTGTGCTGGGGATGTTAGATCCCTAGAACTCACTTGGCAAATACCTTATTTTTGTAATTTTATTCTAAAAATTTGAATTTTTTTTCGCACCAAAAGCGCTCATTTATACCTTCATGTTATATTTCCCACTTGGGAAGATTTTATACGCTATTGCTTTGTTGTATCTTTTAGTCTGCTATTTTGTAACGCTTCCCAAGGACAATTTTATGCTGTATATATACGTTTGATTTATGCCTGTTGTTATTGCTTGTGCTTCTGGCAGCTTGCAGAATATATTTCCGCGTTTCGAAATCGGACTTCTCTCTCCAGTTAGCGGGGCTGGAAGGCGCCTAAATAGCTAGCTTATTTATCATTGTATCACAGAGTCTTCGTCCTGTTCTCAGATTAGGTGAACTCGTAATCGCTTCAAATATAAAAATATGATGCTGTACGTTTTTCAAGTTTCAAGGAGATCTGGTGCTGAACCGAAATGACCACCTACATACATACATACACAAATAACCATTATAAATGAATTTCTTAACAATCTCATCAGTCTTATTCAGTAGGATTTTTAATGTCCAGCACTGATTAATTAGATGAATAAAGGGAATTATACGCAATCGTAGAATAATTTAATCTAGTCAAGTTTATAGTGAAAACTGATGAATGAAACTGTAAACAGAAAGGAAATTGTACTTTGAATTATTCTAATAAATTTTACAGAGAAACAACAGAACTTAAATTTCAGTTGAAAATCGTGGTAGGGAAAAAAAGAAATTAGCACACACACAAACAAACAACTGTTGAATCAATGACTGATTGAGGTGTTTATAATTTCAGTTAGTACGGCCGAGGGTAGGGAGAGTCCTCTCTCCCTCTCCAAATGCTCTCACATGACCACGCATATACAACCACTGTCAGGGAAGTCCTACTCACTGCCTCCTAAAACCACGGGTGTTGTTTATGAGCTTGAAAGGACTAAAAGCGAATGTCCGGCGATTTAACCGGGTTGGTAGATACAGAGAGTCCAACTAGGTGAGTTGGAAAACCCTCATTCCAAACCAATGGTACACATGGGATCCAGTATCTTGAAGGGACAAATGATGTTTGAACCTATTGTTGGTCACTGGCTACCATGAAAGTGCATCTCCTGACGTTGCACTATTGCCTCGTGAATTAGACTTTTAGGTCTAAGAAAACCACCTGTTTCGGTTTGGACACCCGGTCAGTATCACAACCCACACACAAATCAAGTGACTTGCGTAGCGCATATCTATTCAATGTTTATGTGTTCAAATAAATAAAATCAATAAAAATAATCAAATACTAATCATAAAATTTTCTTTTAAGAAATTAGTAACTGTGAATGTTTTACAGAATAAAATATTAGTATAGCTAATTAATTTGATAGTGGGAAAAAACTTGTCACAATGCAATCAACATTAAATGAAGCTGAAACTCTTCAAAATAATCATTTCTGTTAATTGTGCAATCAATCAGTAACACAGTCACACAATGTGTGCTCAAAACGTTTCAATTTCAAAATTAGCGGTTTTGATTAAATTAGAAATTAATTAGTAAATTTAAACAAAATATTATAGTACGTACACTGATGGTACTTAATAAATGTATATATCATTGGTCAGCATATGCGTTATCACTGAAATAGTTTACGAAGTAAAAATAGAAAGAAATATTCAGTCAATTAAGTCAATTAACAACTAAGTGATTCGAAACCTGTTACATACCAGTGTGTAGTAGAAGAATTCTGTCTACAAGAAATGAATAAAGATGTCTGATGTTGAACTGAACCAAGATGATATTGGTTATTAATCAGATCATTGTAACCATCTCACTTCTACAGGAAGTTATTCGTAACCGGAATGACTCAGTGATGATGACATCTCAGACTGAACATAAGTTCTAATCCCTAGGAAAGTATCAGTCTCTTCAAGATTGCACAATACTACTTGGTACGAGTATCAAGTAGTACGAGACCAAGGTCAAACTGAGTTTTCAACCGTCTATCTCCAACAAACCAACATGCTATTACAGCATTTATAATATATTATTATTCCTACTGCTAATAATCGTAAGGATAAAGAATTTTTTTACTGTTAATACTCAGAGAGATGAATTAATCTGAATCAGTAGGGTAATGTAGACTCCTCGAATGAATTATCATTACACTGATTATGTTTATACATATAATAATTGGAAAGTGAAGTGTCTGTTTACATTGAAAATCTATTTTGAACAACTTATCAAATAGATTTAAGAGCATACTATATACAGAAGATAAAAAATGCACATTGAAAAAATCCAAATAATTAATGCGGATATTAGTTAAAGGGATTAATCTGAACTACAGCTACGTTTGAAGAGATTAAGACATCACCCAAAAACCAGAGAATGGAACGAAAGTAAACAACACAACAACGGGATAAGGTAAACGATTCCATTGCGCCTCAGTCCTGATAATTAGAAGTGGGAACATCAGGTTCAACAGAGGGTAATCTATATTACACAATCAATTAGAAGCAAGAACTAACAAGCATACAACTTATGAGTGTATATACAGTACAAAAAACGTCAAAAAATAGAGTATGGAAAGAGGAAACGAATTAATGACATTTAAGGTCCTTCCAAGTGGGAAATACAAACTGAAGGTAAAAGTGGGCGTTTTTATTGCGAATATGGAATATTCAAATTTCCAAAATAAGATATTTAACAAGTGATTTCTAGAAGTCTAGCATCCTCAACAACTAACTAGAAAATAAACTAGTCGCATAATTTTCGCGATCAAATACAATCATATATATGCAAATATCTCTTCTTAATTGTAAATGTTTAATAAATTAGTTAACTTACTTAGAGGATTTTTCTTTCATTTGTAAGTTTCTATGTGACTGATTATTCATCTTATCCAAAGCTTTTAACCACAAGGAGCGAACTTGTTCAATAACTTCTGTTTAGTTAACAAAAGAGAGAGAAAAAAGGGAAATACAATACGGTGAAACATGCTCGATAAATTACAGAGTCACGTAAAGTACAGTGTATAAGTTTACTAAAGAGACATACGTATATCCAAAGCATGACATTCTGTAATAACACATAAAACAAATCATTATTCAGTGATACAAAAACCTATATGCATATATATGAAGCTGTCACAACACTTCAGCAAAGAGACATGACATAGTAAAAGTCTTAGTGACAGTAGAAAAGAATCGGTACTGGTGATATGGTTCGATAAAATGTGGATTTGACAAGTAAAAAAGTGTGAGATAGGTTTGAAACATAAGAAAAAGAGTGATTACATCTGCATCATCATGATCGATCCTAAACCACCTTGCCAAACTTCTCCAAACATTGGTTACGATGATCCCTTAAGACCCCCAGCAAGGTAAGCTGAAACTACCAACACATTTTCACTCAGTGGTAAATGAATTTAGTAACTTTCTTTCAACATACTCCTACACCAGCGAACATCGCACATCAATGTAGGGAGTGCCCGAATATACACACAACGTGGTCTCGTGTGTTGTTACGGGTATGAAGGCTGATGTCACTTCCCAGCTGCCTACACCGTGGGAGGGTATTTCTTGAGGAACCTGAAAAGGAAATTGGATTAGTGTTGGTCTTGACGACCTGGGAGCGTGACCGCAGAGCCCAAGGGACAACTGCTTGGGGAGGGTCGCGCACGGCCTTTTTGTGGAAGGTTTTTGACGTGTTAGCTCCGTTGTTCAAAGGGCCTTACCGCCGGAGACGGAAATCCATGAGGTAAGGGTTACATCGACACCCAAACTGGTGATAGGGAGTGAAGTAGTTGAGTGTGTCGACCACTTCACTTATCTTGGAAGTTTCATCAGCCCTTGTGGTCTTGTATGTGACGAAATCTCAGCACGGATACAGAAGGCTCGACTAGCTTGCTTTTGCCAACCTGCGTCATCTATGGCGTAGGCGAGATATCCGTCTATCAACCAAAGGACGTGTTTACTGCGCAGCAGTTCGTTCCGTCCTACTTTATGGCAGTGAAACATGGCCGGTAAGAGTGGAGGATATTCGTAGCTTACTAGTATTTGATCAAAGGTGTCTTCGAAACATTGCTCGTATATCCTGGGACTATCGAGTCAGTAACGCAGTTGTTAGGAAACGGGTACTAGGTAAGAATGGCAAATCAATTGATGACGTAATGAAACTCCATCAGTTGAGATGGCTGGGACACGTGTTACGTATGGCCAACAACCGACTACCTCGACGTGTGATGTTCAGTGGTATAGGAGTAGGTTGGAAGAAAGCTAGAGGCGGCCAGACCAAAACATGGCACAAGTCCATGAATTCACTGACAAGTGGACTGAGTCATGTTGGTAGGTGTAGACTACCTGGTTGGGGACCACGAGATGATAGCAACCGATGGTTAGAGACCCTGAATGACATGACTGAAAATCGTTTGCAATGGCACAAGTGCATTCACTCTCTGTGTTCTCCCAAATTCTAATCTTCTGAATTCTTCATGTCCCTTTTTTCCTCTTTCCAAATTTATTTCACTGGATTGTACTCTTTAAATAACATCTCCAAACCCTAATCTTCCCGATTACTGCTTATACTCTTGCTACCTCTACCACTACGGGATGTGATTCGACAACTGCATCACTGTGCTAAGGTGGTGTGGCAACTCGAACTGATATACGTACGTACGAAGTTCTACGTTGTGACTGACTGACTGACTATCTTAGCCATTTCAACCGATGAAGATTTACTATCTTGTCAATCGATTTGTCATCCTTACTTTGCATCTCACCCAAGCACTGTTAACTAAGTAGTTTCGAAATATATGAGTGATGCTTTGAGGACACTTATGATCGAATGCTATTAATTTAAAAATATCCTCTATTTTAAAAGATCAAGTTTCAGTCACAAAACAAATGGAGTGATATGTTGTGGAGTTTACTTATGTCAGTTGACAGACGAACATATTGTTTACGGTATAAGTGAAATAAGTAAGCGAAAGTCAACTAAGTCTTCTCAACATGTGCCGAGATTTCGTCAGATACCTACCCGCTATTATTGATGACTTACAAAATAGGTGAAATAATCAACGCACCCAACTACTTCACTCCTTATCATAAGTTCGGATATTGATGCAAACCAGACTGGAAGCAATGACTTGCATCAAAATGGAAGCAAATGCATCTTAAGTACGGTTAAATTGTTCCCATAAGCGGTTAGAAGACTCAGCATGTTCACTAAGTAGAACTACATCATCTGTATGGTCCATGTCAACAAGTGAATATCTTAGTAGTGGATTAATTCCTGAGAAATCGGAAGACGAAAGCGTTATCTTTTAAAGTATGTGACAGTAAAAATAGTGAAAGCGAACAACCTTGACAAACCCCACCTACCGACCTTATATCTCTGACAGGGGTGTTTATTACCTTGATCATCATTTTAACCCTTTTTTACTCGTTAATATCCCTACCATCAACCACTATTTTCTATTTTTCTTTTTTGTTCACATGCGCTACCAGTGTTAACAATCCATGTATAAGAAATCTCAGTCAGTCAGTCAAGTTTCGTGATATTCTATTCCGAATAACAATGTCGGAGTTGTCAATGGGCGAACCTTATGTTAAATTGAACAACAAACTCTACTAACTAATACACAGGAGTCTTTTGCTATTTATGAATGGAATCTTCGAGTCATGTAGGATACTACTAAATATGACATGACTGGACTCTACTGATCATGGCTTCTCATGAGAATCACCTCTCGAAGTTAATCACTTTCAATATAAAGAATTGGTGAAAATTCTTTAACTTGTTTTTCGTTTTACGTCAAAAACTAAATTTAATTAAATAACCATTGAAAACTATGTAGCACTGGATAGTTGTATCGTCCTAATACGGGACACCTTAGTAGTGCGCACGCACGACATCACCTGTGAAAATAAGAGCAGGAATACAAAATCGTAAACCATATAAGAGGATATTATTAGAAACTGAAAGACTACAAACTAAGCAATGTGTTAAAAACATACTAATTTACCTGAAAAAAAAGCAAATTATTTGGGGAATTATTTTTTTAAACAAATAACTATCACTAATGGGAATCCAGAGATGGAAATAGCGTCATTATGCACATATCAATGATAACTGCTAGTGGTATCATTGTTATTGTGTGGCACATATGTGTTTGGTGCCCCCTTGTACCAATGCTTATGTGTTCAAATAAATAAATAAATAAATGTACACGCTTGGCTCTGTTGGAGTTTCCAAAATTTTCACAGTCTGTAAGCTGTGAAAATGATATAAGTAAAGATTATGATAGCTAGTAGTGGAATCCAGGACGTGCGTTTCGTCGTATTTGTGACTTAATGGCAACATCGAGTTAATCCAAACATGATGAATATATGCCGAAAAATAGAGACAAATAAATTGAAGACCTAAAGATCAGTGGGAAGATCAAAACAGCCTATACAAACCAGTTATAACAATAATGAATAATAACCTACTACATGAAAGAGTATATCAGTCAGTCAGTCAGTAACAACGTAGAACTTCGTACGTACGTACATCAGTACTCTGAAAGGGTATATAACTTCTTGAAAAGAGGTATTTGCTACCTCAGGTGGTGAGTTAAACAATCTGTATATCATAACTAACATATACACTGATACAAACATCTGTGTATTGACCAGAATTCCCATACTACTATTCAATATAAAGAAATCCAGTTGACAAGATCCATCACAAAAGCGAGAAACAATAAGCTTCAAGAATAGGTTTTTTAAAAAGAAATAAATGGACGATATGCATGAAAGACTATTGGAGAATACAATATCTAAAATAAACAAATGGATTTGCATTATTGTAATCGAATCCGTGTCAATCCATTTACATGTTTTCTAAATTTAAATATACTTCAAATACACACCAATCTCTCCTAAATGCCCTGGTGCAGTCGAGAGTGGAACAAATGGCATGTGAACCTATTGTTGGTTACCGACTACAATGGGACTACATCTTCTAACGTAGTTTCACTGCCTTATGGATTAGAAAACCATCGGTTCAGTTTGGACACCCGGACAATATTCCAGCTCTCACAGAAATCGAATGATTTGTGTGGCGTATATAAATTTGGTGCCTCTTTGTATCAGCCCGATCGTTGGTGGTCGGGCTTGTCTATCGTGATGAAGCAACCGAGCTATACTGGCTGGAACAACCGTTACTCAAGGTCCTACCAAGTTAGACAGGTCGGTTGAAGAGCGGTAAGACTAAATGCAACAAACACAAGGTCCGAAAGCGAAGTCGTACTGCTGACTGTACAGAGGTGTGACAGCAGTAAGGTGTTTCCTTCATACAACCAGCATGACAGCGATGCTGCCTTCCCACAAGGAGGAGTGTGGTTGGAAAAGGTCGACCCTAAAAATGCACACCCTGCCTTATCCCACGAATATCCATCTCCGGCGGTAAGGTCTCAACAAGTACGGAGCTAACACAAAAATTACCCATAAAAAGGTTGTAAGTGACCGACCTCAAGCAGTTGTCCCTTTGGCACTGTGGTCACGCTCCTAGGTCACTAAGACCGTGTCTAATCCGATTTCCTTTTCAGGTACCTCCAGAACAACCCTTCCACGGTGTGGGCAACCGAGTAGTGATAACCGCCCTCATACCTCTAACAGCACTCAAGACCATTGTATTCATAATCAACCACCATCTTCAATTCCTATTATTCCTCCTACATCGACTTCCAACGCTAAACTTAATCTTTCGACTTCCTCCTCAAGTGTTACCATAGCCAACGACTCTAGTGCTCAAAACACTGTCCCAGGTCTACTGAAACCTCGCTCCACACTACACATTGGAGCCTTCAACGTACGCACCCTAAGTCAAATCTGTCAGCAGGCTTCCTTGGCTAAAACCCTAGTCTCGTACCATTGATGTATGCTGTGTCTCCGAAACACG